GAGACCGCGAACCTTGACGGCGAAACCAACCTGAAGATCAAGCAGGCGTTGCCAGAAACGTCCACAATGGTTAGCCCGTCGGAACTTAGTAGGTTGGGCGGGCGAGTGCGTTCGGAACAGCCAAACAGTAGCTTGTATACGTATGAGGCTACTCTCACTATGCAAGCCGGCGGAGGAGAAAAGGAACTGCCTCTCAACCCGGAGCAGCTGTTATTACGAGGTGCTACTCTGAGAAACACACCCTGGGTTCATGGTATCGTGGTCTTTACGGGGCACGAGACGAAGCTGATGCGCAACGCGACGGCAACTCCGATCAAACGAACCAAGGTCGAGCGTCAACTTAACATGCTAGTGCTTGCTCTAGTTGGCATGCTCCTTGTTCTGAGTGTCATATGTACTGTGGGAGAGTTGGTCTTCCGCTCCGTTCGGTCCGATACGATTCCTTATCTAATGCTTGATTCTCTGGGTACAGCTGGAGACGTGGTCAAAGCGATTTTCAAAGATCTCGTTACTTATTGGGTCTTGTTCTCGTCACTGGTTCCAATCTCTCTGTTTGTAACCGTGGAGATGGTCAAATATTGGCATGGCATCCTGATTAATGATGACCTTGATATTTACTACGATAAGACAGACACACCTGCAAACTGTCGGACATCAAGTTTAGTGGAGGAGCTAGGTATGGTCGGCTTCGTTTTCTCGGACAAGACAGGAACTTTGACGTGCAATATGATGGAGTTTAAGCAGTGCACGATCAGCGGAATACAATATGCGGATGAAGTACCGGAGGATCGAAGGGCCACGTTTCAGGATGGTATAGAGGTTGGTGTCCACGACTTTAAGCGAATGCGTGAGAACTTGAAGTCTCATGAGAGTGCCGAAGCGATCCATCATTTCTTGGCACTTCTCTCCACCTGCCATACCGTGATTCCAGAACGGGACGAAGGAAATGGAGGTAAGATCAAATACCAAGCTGCTTCGCCTGATGAAGGTGCATTGGTTCAAGGTGCCCTGACTATGGGGTATACATTTGTCGCTCGCAAGCCAAGATCCGTTATTATCGAGGTGGAAGGGAAGGAGTACGAATATGAACTTTTAGCCGTCTGCGAGTTCAACTCCACGAGGAAGCGAATGTCGACAATCTATCGGTGCCCCGATGGAAAGATTCGATTGTACTGCAAGGGCGCAGACACCGTCATTCTGGAGCGCCTGAACGATGATAACCCCCACGTCGAGCAAACTCTGCTACATCTCGAGGAATATGCTTCAGAGGGGCTTCGTACCCTATGTTTGGCGATGCGCGAAATTCCCGACGAGGAGTATCGGGAATGGTACGCGATCTTTGACAGGGCACAGACCACTGTTGGTGGTAATCGTGCCGAAGAACTAGACAAAGCAGCTGAGATCATTGAGCATGATTTCTACTTGCTCGGAGCGACCGCCATTGAGGACCGTCTCCAAGATGGTGTCCCCGAGACTATTCACACCTTACAGCAAGCGAATATCAAGGTCTGGGTATTGACCGGGGACCGACAGGAGACGGCAATTAATATCGGCATGAGTTCAAAGCTTCTAAGTGAAGACATGATGCTCTTGATTGTTAATGAAGAAGATGCCACAGCGACTCGCGATAACATTCAGAAAAAGTTAGATGCTATTAGGAATAACGCAGACGGATCAGTCGAGATGGACACCTTGGCTCTAGTCATCGATGGCAAGTCCCTTACCTACGCCCTGGAACCTGACATGGAGAAACTGTTCTTTGACCTGGCCGTGATGTGCAAAGCTGTCATCTGCTGCCGTGTCTCGCCGTTACAGAAGGCTTTGGTCGTGAAGATGGTCAAGAAGTTCTCGCCCGAGATCCTCCTCGCCATTGGCGATGGAGCAAACGACGTGTCCATGATCCAGGCTGCGCATATTGGCGTCGGTATCTCCGGTGTTGAGGGTCTCCAGGCTGCCCGGTCGGCCGACATCTCGATTGCCCAATTCCGATTCCTCCGCAAACTCACTCTCGTTCATGGTGCTTGGAGTTATCAGCGTATCAGCAAGACGATCCTTTTCTCGTTCTACAAGAACATTACTTTATATATGACGCAATTTTGGGTAAGCTTCCCCTTTTTTCAATCAACTATTAATTTTTTTTCGTTACCACACATTACGTGTTGTGGCACATAATAATTGTGTAATGCTAATTCATTATTAGTACACATTCCAAAACGTCTTCTCTGGTGCAATTCTTTTCGAATCATGGACTCTTTCGTTCTACAACGTGTTTTACACTGTGCTGCCACCACTGGTCATGGGTATTTTAGACCAGTTTATTTCTGCGCGACTCCTTGATCGCTACCCGCAGCTCTACACCCTGGGACAACGGAATCAGTTTTTCAAGATCAGCACTTTTTCAGCATGGATTGCCAGCGCTGTTTACCATTCGATTATCCTGTATGTCTTCGCCGAACTCATCTGGTACCCGGACCTCAAGCTACACGACGGCACGATTGCGGGTCACTGGGTCTGGGGCACATCTATATATGCTGCCACCCTTGCGACCGTACTCGGGAAAGCCGCGTTGGTGACTAATAATTGGACCAAGTACCACGTGATGGCCATTCCGGGCAGCATGGCGATTTGGTACGTCTTTGTCGCCGTCTACGGAATCGTCGCCCCCATACTCGGCTTCTCGGAGGAGTATCACGGTCTCGTGCCGAAGCTCTTTAGCAACCCTGTCTTCTGGCTGCAGACGGTGGCCCTGCCCATCCTGTGTCTCCTCCGGGACTTCTCCTGGAAATACACCAAGAGAATGTATTATCCGCAGACGTACCACCATATACAGGAAATCCAGAAGTACAATATCCAGGACTATCGGCCAAGGTAAGCCCTCACCACCTCTATTCCTCATGTCTTATTCGTTCATGGTAGCTAACAGCGTTGCTTGCACAGAATGGAGCAATTCCAGAAGGCGATCAGAAAGGTGCGCCAAGTACAGCGCATGAGGAAACAACGCGGCTACGCGTTCTCGCAAGCCGACGAAAGCCAGACCCGCGTCATCAATGCTTACGACACGACAAGACATAGAGGGAGGTACGGAGAAATGCCAGCATCGACGCCAGGGCGGTGAAAGTCGTTGTTTGTTGTTGTTGGGCGCGACTGGCTGGCTTTTGGCGGTTTTTGCAAGGGGGTGCAACTGGCTGGCGTCTAGTGATATGATTACCACGAATTTCGATGTATTATTTGTTAAAGTGTCGTAAGCAAGGAATAAACAAAAGCCTTCAGATGATGAATTCGTTCATGGTATGTCGTTTCTGCGTTTGTGGTGTTGCTATGTGAGCCCCTTTTTGCAGGAGTCTGTGACTTGTGGTGTAATGGTGGTGGTAGATTTGAGAGCTTCATCTTTACCCTAGAGACAATATTTGTCAGTGCATGCTGATTTCGAAGTTAGTGATGAATAGTAGTAAATGTAGTCCAGTATCTATGTCTCAGCCTTCTACATGAAAAGTCGATAAGCCCCTTTAAGCGAAATCAAGGTAAACCTACGAACCTTCAAACTGACGACAGTGTCGGTAACTTGGAAAATCATCCAATATGTAGTCGTAATTCAGCTATAGACTCGTTTAGAACCGCATTATCTTGAAATCTTCATCTCCTGTGTCGAACTCTTACATGGCAAAGTAGACTTCACAGTTTAAGTTCTCTAAGTTCATTTCTCGTATCAAGAGGCTATGTTCTATGTAACAGGATTCGGGAAACTCTTAGGTATAGACAATAGGACCCTTTATATATGACATGAAGGGATATTTGGGAAGGCACATTCCATATTTGATGGTTAGAAGCTCAAACCATCAGTATACGGTTTCTGATGATTAGACCATTAATCATCATCCTAGCCGAATGAACAAACCATCTTCTCAACCTTCAGATCCATGGATAGTAACTGAATTATTCTCGACATTGATTGTGGATGCTGTAAACTCAGATTGAAAGTTACTCGGACTCGTCTAATCTTCCCTCGATAGAACATACCCCCGTGAAGCGCAGTCCACTGTCTTTAAACATCGACAACAAAAGCAATTTGAATACTTTTATGCCATAATCTCTTGCCGTCATCGCGCTCAATAGTCTTCCAACTTAATCACATGGTACGCAGGCTCCTCATATGGATGTGCTCTAGGTAAGACAGGGGCCTCGCAGTCAGCTCTCAGCTCAAACGAGCATACTAGTCTCCGTTCTTGCTACCGAGGACATACGCATATGCCGCCCAAAACACACGCACATACATATTACAGAAGAATAAGAGAGCGAAGAAGACGCATGCAGAGCGAGACAGACTTACGACTTCAGCGCGGCAACGGCCTTCTTGACCACATCTTCACCGATAACTAGCGTCTCGACACGCACCTCAGGCAGCTCCTCCAGCGCGCCCACCGTGCCGATGTTCGGGTTCGCGCCGGGGCCGGGCCGGAACTGACCATCACCCGTCGACGACCAGCAAACTTCAGTGTAGTTCCCGGGGCCCGGGTATCGGCCGGCACCAGCTCTAGTCCCGGAGTTAGTAGGTAGGCATCATCTCTCGTAAGTTCACCCAATTTTGGAAAGTTCCGACCCTATCTAGGAATATGCAAGGGGGTAGATGTGTAGGTCATTCCCGTGTAGAATTGGAGCGGGGAACTGAGAACTCAGGTCTGGTTTATACGCACTGGAAGATGGCTGTCTTACAGGCCTGGACCACGGAGGGAGGCGCGTAGAAGATCAGGGTGAATTTCTTCACTAGAGCCGTTGATGCCATGGCGACTTCGATCGTTAGAAAATACTGCTGCAAACTCGGTGTCAATATATGAGAATATAAACAAAAATAATGTTAATTATACTGCAGCTGTGGTCGGGTTTAGATTGGAACCCTATAGCAATGCCGGCCAAGTGGGTGTAAATGCATGTGCGCGGGATCCTCCGTGTCCGGTATAAGGTAGTCATATTATATGGTATAATATTCATCCAATAATTCCAAGTCCTCCGTGGCGCAATTGGCTAGCGCGTCTGACTGTTACCATATGCACGGTTCATCAGGAGGTTGACAGTTCAAGCCTGTCCGGGGGAGCTCCATTTATTTTTGTCTAATTTTTGTCTAATTTTTGTCCATTATACAGTAATAAGCATCTTGCGTATTGCGTACATATATATCGTATTAGCCATGCGCAATTGGCTGCCTCGGCTTCCTCGGTTGCCGGATACGAGTGTCCACCATGATCCTTAATTCATTTATTCCTTTTGTGCGATAACGGTTGTAGAAATTAACATCGTGTATAGCGGCTAACGTTTTGCTTGTCTGTTATCTATGTAGACACTTTGATGACTAATTGGCTGATTGATTATACCGGTCTCCCAATTACATACAACTTTAGATTTATGTTATAAAACAACATTGCTTGATAGACGTAAAAGACAGTAATATATTATAGTCACTTATAGAGCTAGTAGGCAAGGTACACTATCAAAGCCCAACATGATATCCGTTAGTAGTTCATTACATGTATCACTATGGGACTTAGTGTATAAGACTTAGTGTATATGTCCTTCCTTATGCCCTTGATTATTGTAGGATTGTTGAATCGCGAAAGGATCGGAATTTCGGCTGCGTCTCAACAAGTGTCGACAAATCGAATGAAGCTAGAATATGCGCCTACCTACTGTAAGCTACCTCGTAACCACGCGTATTCCGAGTTCCTATCATGGACTTGTTGACCGGGTCGAGGTTTTGTTGTGTATACCCATCACCACCCAGCTCACAACTTTGAAATTTGGGATGCTTTGGGGGCATCGTTGGCCTCGACTCAACATTCTTCAGCTTGTGATCTGAGGTCAGCCGAAGAGAGGTGTTTTGGTATCGATCGAGCAACCGCCAAAGGTCACAAAAAATCGAATCAACTACGGAAGATAAGGGAATAAATAGCTCTGGGGACAGCTGAGTCAGAACCCTTGGAAGTGAAGAACTCCAGCGCAAGAAAGCTTTGGAGTCGGGTCTCACCGGGCATAGGTTAGGTAGTTACCATAGCCAATCAGAAAACTCCTATGACAGCTTGCATCCATAACGCAAAGTTAATTTCGCAGCAATTCCCTCCTTATAAGCGGGCATCCGGGGCCTGGAAGGATGGCACAAGCAAGGGATGGAAGATAACGAATGCTGACCATAAATATACGTAACCATTTAGATACATATGTTTTCTGCTATGGAGCATGTGCATGTGCATATATTGTAGTATATGTGCTGGGAAAGGCCGGCCAAGTCCGACATAATTCCTAGGCTGTCAGCTACAATATGTATGCACCTACTTTGTATAGACAGAGCTAATGTAATAATCGGGTGAACCCCCACTATCTGGACTGATGCAACTGATGCAACTGATGCAACTGATGCAACTGATGCAACTGTGCATTTGGTGTGCATTTTCAGCTTTACATAGCTCCCCCGGTCCTGTAGCAGCCGGCTTCAGCAGCAATCCGGTAGCCCGCTGGTCCGTGTGGCCGACAGCTTACCCAGATCTACCTATGTACCTAGGTACATAGCACTTTTGTGTGTGGATGCCAAGACGCTAGCAGTTAAGCAAGAAACCGAAGTTGTGGTCCACCTAAAATTTCAATTGATTGAAGGGCCATGACAGAAAGTCAGCGCAGCATGCAGTCATTATCAAGTACCTCACCGAAACCCTCCAGCCCTCCTCCTCCCACTCAACCCCCCCCCAATGGAAATCAACTCCCGCTCCACCAACGCTTATAATTTTTATTCTCCCTTCTTAACCTCTGATTCTCCCGCTCCCTTCGTTGACTAGCCTCGCGGTTGGCCATTGAAGCTCCCTAACATCATTCAATGGCTTCATCTTCAAGAGCCTTGACTGGGCTCGCTGGTCCTCGGCTCAGGCTCAGCGCAGCAGTTGGGCGCCTGTCTGGTCCTGAAGCTGTCGCTAAGCTTGGTAGAGTGAATGCGACTAGCTTCAGCACGACGTCATTATCGCGAAAGTCGGCTCTCTCTACCCCTCTGATCGCCGGCGCTCGAAGAAGAGCAGTCAATCGCCAGTTCACGAGGTCTTATGCCGACGCGCCTCCGAAGCCCGTAAAGAAGCCGCGCAGAATCCGGACCACCTTCAGATGGATATGGCGCATCACCTATCTATCCGTCCTCGCAGGTGTTGGGAAAATCGTCTATGATGGCTACCTAGATCGCTATCCAGAAGAACAGTTTGCCCCGGACCCCAGTAAGAAGACGTTGGTCGTCCTCGGTGAGTCATATCTTTCCAACCATGTAGTTCAAGTTGGCCTGGTCTAACTATCTTCTATTCCAAAGGCACTGGCTGGGGCTCAGTCGCTTTGCTCAAGAAGCTTGACACATCCAACTATAATGTCGTTGTCATTTCGCCGCGTAACTACTTCCTGTTCACCCCCCTGCTGCCATCATGTACGACGGGTCAAATCGAGCACCGCTCCATCATGGAACCCGTCCGCCAGATCTTGCGTCACAAGAAAGCCGCTGTCAAGTTTTATGAAGCCGAGGCTACCCACATCGATACGGAAAAGAAGGTCATCAAGATTACGGATAACAGTGATGTCAAGGGAAACATCCACACGACTGAAGTTAGTTACGACATGCTTGTCATTGGTGTGGGCGCAGAGAATGCTACTTTCGGTATTCCCGGTGTTCGCGAGCACAGCTGTTTCCTAAAGGAGATTCGTGATGCCCAGGCCATCCGTACCAAGATAATGGACTGTGTCGAGACCGCCGCTTTCAAGGACCAGGAACCGGAGGAGATCGACCGTCTGCTTCACATGGTCGTTGTTGGCGGTGGTCCCACCGGTGTCGAATTCGCTGGAGAACTGCGAGATTTCTTTGATGACGACATCAAGAAGCTGATCCCTGAGATTTCTCCACGGTTCAAGGTGACGCTCATCGAGGCTCTTCCCAACGTTCTACCCATGTTCAGCAAGCAGCTCATTGACTACACCGAGAGCACTTTCAAGGAGGAGCACATCGAGATCAAGGCTAAGACTATGGTCAAGAAGGTCACCGAAAAGACCGTTGAGGCCGAGGTTACTGGTCCTGACGGCAAGAAAACACTACTTACTATCCCTTATGGTCTTCTCGTCTGGGCTACCGGTAACGCAGTGCGCCCGGTAATCAGGGATCTCATGTCCCAGATTCCCGCGCAGAAGGACTCGAGACGTGGCCTTGCTGTGAACGAGTACCTGGTTGTTCAAGGCACACGCGACATCTGGGCCGTTGGTGACTGCGCCGTTGCTGGATACGCGCCAACTGCTCAAGTAGCTTCTCAAGAAGGTTCTTTTCTGGCGAGGCTGTTTAACAACATGGCCAAGACCGAAGCTTTGGAGGATAAGATCCGCGAGCTTAGTGGCGGCCTGAACCTCAAGCCTGGCAACACAGCAGAGGTTACGCAGCAAATTGAAGAGGCCGAGAAGCAACTACGTCGTGTCAAGGATATCAAGCCTTTCCACTACTCTCACCAAGGCAGCTTGGCCTACATTGGTAGTGAGAAAGCTGTTGCGGATGTTGCATGGCTGAATGGAAATGTCGCCAGTGGTGGTAAGCTCACATACTTCTTCTGGAGAAGTGCATACTTGAGCATGTGCTTTAGCAGTAAGTCACAAACGCAACTCAAATTTTCAAGGATAATGAGCATCGCTGATATACTTTAGCTCGCAACCGCGTCCTCGTTGCTCTTGACTGGGTCAAGGCCAAGATCTATGGACGAGACGTCTCACGGGAGTAAGCATTCACTTAAGCAATGCCGACCCCCTAACTACCCAAACGTATGCTGGTCTCACATCACCGAATTTCTTCCCCCTTCCAGATAGAAAACCGCGCTTCCCCTGTCACATCAGTATCCTAAGCGCAGCATCACATTTTGCTTTCATAGGAGTTTGTAGAGAGTAGTTGGGCCCGGTCAAAAGAACGGACTGGACACGCGCCGCGGGGGGTTTACTGGGTACAATGGCACACACACAATACATAGAGGAAGCTTCCGCTTCGGGTGGCGCAGATTAGGATACGCCTGTGGCGTGCAAGCGAAGCTGGAGGGCGCCGGTGGCCCCGTTTGTAACAGTAGTAACAGAACCTTGCATTTTTAGATGCTATTTTATGATTGAATAGCTGAGTTGCGTTGGTGAGCCTCGAATTCGTATATCAGGCCAACTACTTGTTGCAGACGTACTAACCCAAACCTTTTCGTACCCTTCCATCTTTCTACCTCGAAGCTAACCTGTAAGTTGCTGTCAACCATGCCAATCATCCGGGACGGCACGAGCCTAGCTGAAAAGACGGACTTCCGAAGCTAGTGCTGACGATGGGCGTTGAGGATGCTGAGATAATCCGTACCTACTTTGGGTTAGGGATATGTAGGTGTGGCAGCTTGGGAGGTAGTAGAGGTGATCGATATCATGTGAAACCGACAGAGCTTGCGGCTGGCCGAGGTATATGTATCACTTTTTGCATGCATGTGTTGTTAAAGTTTCATGTCTATAAAGCTTTGCTATGAGTGTTTCGTTTATTGGAACGGAGTCTTTTATGTTTTATGTATGGGGAGTTTGAAATCTGAATGTGGTGTTCTTGTTGAAATAGGTCTAAAGGCTGAATACAGGCTTATATATGGCTGCCGCCTATACATATATGTAAAGGGGTTCAACCCCTATCTAGCTTCCATTGTGCACTGGTCAAGCCATTATACTCATCACTTTGTCCTATATAGACAGTTTTTGTCAAACGGGATACTATTTGATACAAACTAGTAAAAATCTATACCTGTGGAGGAACACAACGGCGCTCCTTGACATGGCTATCTCATCCGTCATAGGAGTATCACGTTGATGTAAGCTCTTAAGGCATCTTTGTCACATTCAAAGAAATAACATGAAATAGGTAGATGGGACACCCTTCAGTAAAGGTTTCTTGGATATTATCTACCAGCCAGTCATTTCTCGTCGGGATCAATCTTATCCCTAGTTGCCTATGCCATCAGTCTAGCTCTTCGTTTCCATACGTCGTCGGCTCATAACATTGTCTTAGGGGTATATCCATCCGTGTGCGGCATTTCC